CAGCTGTTGTTTAATTTGCTGACACATGACAAGCGCCATATCTAGGAAACAAAGGGCTTCTCCCATAGCATCTTTGCCTTCTTTCTTTATTTTTAAATATTGTTTTTTTAGTTCATCAAGAGATAGAGCCATTTTAAACTGTTTCTTCTTCTCTTTCTGTATCCTCTTCTTATTATTAAACCAATCAGTTATTTCCAAACTTAAAACAGTTCCCAAAAGTCCCAAAGTCCCACAGTCATCAAACAGTCCAGGCAGAGTACAAGCTTCTTCTTTTTACAATTTCTCTTTTAGGGGTGAAGTCAAATTTGGGAAAGAAAAAACATCCAATCTGTGCTTTAAGTCTTTCTTAGAATTAATTTCTATTCTCTTTATCTTCAAGGCATCTCCTCCAGCAAAGTCTTAGAGTAAAAATTTGTTTTCCCAAGCCTCTCCCTTCCCACTTATAACAAAGGAGTTTAGGTTTTACCTTCTATCAAAAGGCTGGTTTCCCTTGTCCATTTGTTAATTCCATAAGGGAGGGAGAGTAACTTCCCCTTTTCGTCACTTTTCTTCGCAGCTGAAAACATCAATCGGGAACATTATAGCTTCCAAGCCAATACTTTCCCAGGTGTTAAATGTGTCATTAAGGTCCCAGTTCGACCAAGAAAAGACTTTCGTTTTAAAACTCCTTCTTCCTCCTGCGCATTCTTTATCCAGTTGCTGGCTTCTTTATGGCGGCCATAAAGACCGCCGCTTCACCGTCTTGAGAGAAGGGGGTTATTGCCGGCTGGGGGGGGGTTGCGATAGCCCACACCCCCGTCTGGATCCCCCCTTTCTTCAGCTGCCCCAACAGGGCAGCCTTAGCCTCCAAATCCGTCAGGATCGGAGGCACCAAGGCGGCTAGCACAGCAGGGATCGCAGAGAAGGCGAATCCCTGCTGTCACCGAAGCCGACAAACCGGAAGTGTCCTCATAGTTGCAGTCTTTACCATTAGGTCCTATCAGAGGTGAGATGGACCTTGAGTCTTTTAGTTTGTTGTTTACAAAATTGTAAAAAATGTGGGTGGAATTGGTGCATAGAAGGTTTTCCTCTTGTTTAATGTGATAATTGGTGCATTCAGTCTTTATCTGGTGGCATAAATTTTTGTATTGGCTTTTGAAATTGGCAACGTGACCAGATTTGTTTTTCCGCCAGAGTGATCTCTTTTTGGATTGAAGTTTCCTTATTGTTATGGGTAATCTGTTTTTTTTGGGGGGGAGGGGGGAGTTGTTGTTGGTACATATAGTTTGATGACTCTTTTGACTTCAAGTAAAAATATGTTGTAATGGTCTTCAACAGTATTGCATCCAGTGAATAGAGATTGCCAATCAAGGGATGAGAGATCGTTGTCTATAAGATCATAGTTGCCTTTTTTGAAGTTATAATTGGGGATTACATCATTGTGATTTTTGTGTGGGCATATGTTGAGACAAAAGTCAATCATATTGTGGTCACTGCTGGAAAAGGGTTCTTTAATTTGTATTCCATAAATTAAATTCAAACTATTGCAGAAGATGAGATCAAGGCAGTTGTTTAGTCTAGTGTTGTTGGTTACTAGTTGTTCCAGTCCCAGATTTGTAACAGCATTGTAAAAGATTGCATGTATGGGTTCAGTTGTACATTCATTTAGGGTCCAGTCAATATGAAGTAGATTGAAGTCACCAAGAAAGATAAAAGCATGTGGGCAGGATGCTGCCCATGTTAGTCATATATTTAGCTTGTTTACATGTTCGATGTCATAATCAGGTGCTCTGTAACATAGTAAGAATTGAAATGTGATATTTAAGGATAGTTCACAGATGATGGTCTCAGGAAGAGCAAGCTCCTGGGTAACTTGGATGTTTTTTAGATTGTTTTTTGTGGTAATGGAGTCAGGGAGAGATGCGTTGAGCCATGTTTCACAGACAAATATGATGTCAAATTTAGCCATATTTAGTAAGAGGAAAAATTCAGGTATTTTATTTGCAAGGCTTCTTGCATTGAGTAGCTTGCATTTAAGGCCAGCAGTAGTTGGAATTGAGGTAGTTAGGGGTTTGCGTGCCTAGTCTTGGGTGATGGTGGATTGGTTGAGGTAGGGTTGTGGTTGAAGGTTAAAGCTGAGATTCGGATTGTGTGACTTACTTTTGATACAATCAGCATGGTAGTCAATGTACAGATCCTTCTCTCCATTGTCTAGATGTTTTTTGAGTTCAGTGCGGAGCACATGGGAGCGGGCACGTTGCTGTATGGTTAGGTCAGGGCGGCAACGGAGGTTCTTATGGTTGGTGTTCGTTTTGGCAAGTGAATTTATAGTGTAAATGAATTTATGTTTGCTTGATTCATTTTTGCAAATGACCCTGCAGAAGCATGGGGCCACAGAGCCATCTAAATCCGCATTGGCCGAGAGCTCAAAAACAGAGATGGCTCTGTGGCCCCATGCTTCTGCAGGGTCATTTGCAAAAATGAATTAAGCAAATGTAAAGTATTTCATCAGGGGAGATGGTTGATGCTTGATAATCACTGATAATCACTTGGACAGTTGTGATGTCATCATTATCATTGATGTCCTCTAGACCAAATAAGATGGCATTTGGACATTTCCATTCACGCTTAACAGCTTCTCTGATGAGGATTGGGATATCATTATTTGGCTTATGTTTTTTTGTGGATTGGGTTGTGGATTGGGTTGTGGTTGTTGGGTCGAGATGTGGTTTGTAGCTATTGGATGTTCAGGTTTTTGCGTTGTGTCTTTTTTTTCAAGGTTGGATAATCTTTCTTTTAAGGCGTCCAGGGATGCTACTATGGTGTTATTCGTGTTTCTATGGTATCAACTCTTTCAAACAGATCCAGTTTGGGTCTGCATTGGTTTGCAGAGATATGGAAACTCATTAGATAATTCTAGGTATTGAATCATTTGCTCGGGTAATCCCAAGCAGTCATGATGAGCGTATTTGTTACATAGAGAACATTTGATGGAGTCTTCATTATTCTTTAGAGTTTTGTAGCATTTAAGGCATGTGCAGGAGTCTTGTGGTTCATTGGTGTTGATTACTTTCTCTTTAGGTTATGGTTTGGCATTGGATTTTTTTCTTGGCATGGTAGGTTTGTTAAGATGGTACGTTGATTCAATTAATTAATGGAACAATTTTGGGTAATCAATATAGCCAATATCACACCAATCAATTGGTGGCCTTTTATTCAAAACTTTGTCCAAACTATAGATAATTCTGTTGGTGAATCTCATTAGACAATTTACATCCTCTAATATTTCTGATATGTTGTTAAATAAATTTTAATTGTTCGCTGCAGATAGTCTCAACTTACAACCAGTTAGGACTAGACTTTTCACTGTTAAGCGAAGTGAGGGTGAAATGAGTCATGCCTGATTTTTATGAAATTTTTGCCTTGAATCAGTGCAGTTGTTAAGTGAAACAGGCAGTCATAAAGCGAATCCGGCTTGTTAAAAGCCAGTTGAGAAGATGGCAAATGATGATATGATCATGACCCTGGGACACTCCAACTGTTATAAATGCATATTGACTGCCAAGCACCTTTGGGAAACTGTTGGGATGCTGCAACGATGAGTGAGAAGAACAGTTGCACAGCAATTTATTTCAACGCCATTATAACTTCGAATGGTCACTAGATCGGTAGTCCTCAACTTGCGACAATTGAGCTGAAAATTTACATTGCTAAATGAGAAATGTGTTAAGTGAGTTTTGCCCCATTTTATGACCTTTCTTGCCACATTGGTTAGGTGAACTTGAATTGAACTTACCTTTGAAAGAAATGCCCAGAGTCTGTTTACTTGTTAACATAGCAATTATATCCTTGGGCTTTGTTCTTGCTGTACAACAAACAGACTGTGTGAATACAGCCCTACCCAGGGACTTAAATAATCCTTACTGTAAATAAACAGTGTGGCAATCTGGAGACAACTTGGACTTGCTGTTCTTACTTCAGGCCTCTGCATAACTTAGGATTATTTGTCAGTTATGCCCCCTTTTTGGACCAGTGAACTCTGCTGACCTTCACTGGTGCCGTTTTGATTGACAGATTGGTTTTATTATTTATTATTTCATTTTATTTTACTAGATGTATACCAAATAAGGACTGTATTTCATCAGATTAAATGGCAACTATATCTTGTTCAAAGATCTACTTATTTCTTTCTTTTCTTGCAATTTTATTTTATTGAAAAGATTGACATACAAAGCCCAAAAGAAGAAAATTAAACAGAGGCAAAATTAGACAAATACATTAAAAAGTGGATTAAAAGAACAAAAACATATATTATTGCTCTAGTCTAGTTGAACACTGACAAATCTATTACAATAGCTTCCTCCCTTGCAAAACAGAGGCAAAATTTGAGCTTCTACAACTATTTGCAACTCAATTGACCTGTTATACACTACATATATGAAAGCAAAAAATAGTAATGAAATATTGTTTTACGTTTTTAATTGGGAACTTTCCCAACAATTGCATTTCATTTCCAAAGTTCATAAGTCTCTATTGTAAATATCTCTGCAACATCCATTGTTGAATAATTCTCCTTGGCAGCGCAGCATTCCTTTTGCCAAGAAAATTTGGTCCATCCTTCATCTATTCAATTATCTCAGAATTTCTTATATTCATATACTTTTCCATCTTTTCTGGTAGATCTACATTTTTCACACAAAATACTTTCTTCTTTATGTCAGATTAATTTTGTAAGATTGGGTGTAATATTAATTTTGATTATTGATAATTATGTAGATCCAAGGAATTGATTTTTTGGTGAAATGTATTTTTTATGAGATAAATGTATATACAAATGTGAGATGCATATGTCTTTGAGGTGGGATTTTTTGTTATAATGGATCAATAAAATGGAGGAAATACAGGACTTTTTTCTTTTGTTATGGTTATATTAGTAAGGAAATATATTTGATTAAATATTTGTATCTGTATGGTTGGAAGCCTTTCCTCACTTTTCCCCCTCCTTTTTTTTTCACTTTTTAACCTTTCTACCTTTTTGAATCCCTCACTTTTTTGTAGTTTAATGAAATTTAATAAAGTATTTTTAAAAATGTGGAACTCGTGAGTTAACCCTTGCTAAGTCATTCTCAGTATAACTTTCTTAACAAGGCTGCTGTTTGGGGAATAAAACAGGGGTGACCCCATATATTCCTGCTTTCAGAAAAAAATATGGAATATAAATGCAATAAACAAACCAACAGATAAATGGTTTTAAGGAGTTTGTATTTTATGTTTAGCAATGAAATAAAATAAATAAATCAAGCAGATACTCAACATAATAAAATAAAATCTTGATAGATTTCCCATATGTTTGATTTCATGACTTCACCAGCAATTATACAGAAGAGCCAGGAGGAAGATTAGTTTTCCTAGGAAAAAAGTGGTAATAAATAATTCAAAACTTTTTGCCTGAAAGAAGAATGAAGCAGGAGTTTCATACAACATTCAATACCATTTTTTACCTCACAGGATAAGTGGTTCCTAAAGTATTGCCCAATTTTGAGGAATTAGAAAGATGATTTTTCATATTTGAGTTTCCCTTAAAAAATAAAATAACCCCAAATTGGGCTAGAGACAGAGGTGGTATTCAGCAGGTTCTGACCAGTTCTGGAGAACTGGTAGCGGAAATTTTGAGTAGTTCGGAGAACTGGCAAATACCACCTCTGACTGGAGATTTTGCAGTATCCTTCCCCTGCCATGCCCACTAAGCCATGCCCTCAGGAACAGGTAGTAAAAACAATTTGAATCCCACCATTGGCTGGAGAGACTTATGGACAAGTACTTGTATTGTCCCTTTACACATTTATCCTCCTATCACCACTACTGCATAGGGTCAAAAACTTTAGCTTGCCACTTCCAGTGATAACATTGTCAGAAGAATAGAAGAGAGGGCAATGGAAAATGGACAGAATGGAAGGAAAGGGAGGAGAGGAGAACATGTATGAATGTGTATATTTTATAAAATAACAGAATAGATCTAATAGGGATAGTCTGGGAAGAATGCCACGTATATGCTTGCTGTTTTTCTTTCCATTAGGTATTTCAGATTTTCCAATAAGAATAACAGAGTAAGAAGAAAGGACTGGAAGAAGAACTCTGTGAGTTTCTTTAATCCTTTTGCTATCATTCATATTTACTTTTATTTATTTATTATTAAACTTCTATGCCGCCCATCTCACCAAGGAGATGCTAGGTAGCTTAGGCCTCTTTTCCAAACAGGTATAAAAGGATAGGACTGCCAAAAGCAATATCTCTGCTTGCTTTATACCATTGTGGATTTATAAGGAAAATTTTAAGATTTGTATATGTTGATGAACATAAAGCAAACATGGGTTTTATTTAGAGTATCTGATCTAAACATCCTGGGACAGAAAAAACATTTTCAATCTAACTGAGATGTTGACCACATACTCTTCATAAGACTTCATTTTTAGATCCTCCAACCCTACTCCAGGTTTCCCTAAACTTCATAAAGTGTAATGCTCAAGACTTATTGCAGTAATCCAAATGCAATTTGATTAGCACATATGTACTATTACTTCCTATGAATCTGGACATAAAGGTGAATGCAACCCAAGAATTTGTTGACCCCAGCAGTTGTTGCATCATATGGCTTGTTCATATTGAATGCTTTACCAGAATCTCTAGATCCTTCTCACAGGGCTATGACAATTCACCATGTCCAACTCGCTGTGGCCAACTCACCACAGGACAACTCACTGCGGGACAAGAGTTATACTAATATCAATGAAATGGTGGAATAGAATCATTAAAGAAAGGATGCAAAAGGAGAGACAGAATGAAATGTGAATGGCAAAAATTAAAATATTTTTTATTTTTTTGAAATAATTAAATAGAATTGTTAAATTTGTCCCACAGCAAGTTGGCCATGGTAAGTTGGCTGCGGCGAGTTAGCCATAGTACGTTGGCTGCAGCAAATTGGCTGTAGCAAATTGTCCCATTACTCTTCTCACACTCAGTACTTCCCTGCCAGGTCTCCCCTGTCCTATACAGTATCCATATCTATGATTTTTCCTACCTAAATGCAGAACATTAATTTGTAACTCCTAAACATCAGGGGTTCCAGTTATTTTGAATTGTGATTTTGTTCCATCCTTTAGACTATTTATAAAAGGTTAATTAGCACATAGCCAAAGATAGATATCCTATTCCAGTGACTTCCAACCTTTTGGGCACCAGGAACTGGTTCTGTGGAGAAAGTTTTTTCCAAGGACTGGAGGGGGCATGGTTTTGTATGCTGCATCCCATGGATGGGACTTCGCTTGTTTGCTCATCCTGGTTTCTGGCATGCTGCTGCTTGGTGCTACTCCATGAACTACAGACCCCTGCCCTATTCAGTCTTTGCCTTCAGAAAATTGAAACTTAGTCCAATTTAGTGGGGCAGAGGTTTGGTCTCTACATGCCCCCTTACCCCTCTGTTGAAAGTAGCTCAAGAACAAAGGCTCCTTCAGAAAAGCAGGTAGGATGTTTGGCAGAAATCATAGAAACTCCTCTTCTGAATAAGCAGAATTTTTTCCACATTAATGTTCTTGTGGTAACATAACTTTTTATATTTGATTTCATGATCAATATCTTTATTTCTCAGGTACAGCCTGAATAAGTGCAGGATTTTGTCTATTTCATTTCTCTTACATAATCTGCAGTAAGATTGGGTTCTTGGGAGTTTTGACTTCGTTGTGAGCTAGGATTCTGATAATGAGTTTTGGCACATCTAAATATGTCAATCAATTTTCACTACCAGGATTCCATTCACATGAAGGCCTTTATATGTATTTGGACTGCCTTTGTTGACATGTAAGCATTAGTTCACATGCTGATAAAGATTCAGGAAATTGTTAGTAAGAGAACTGTAAAGCTTTCCATCAATTGCAAAGCAGTTCGGTTCCTCACCACTTCATAGAACAGCCAATAAGAATTTTTTTTTTGTCCAAGGTGATTTAGTGGTAAAGTATGAAAAATATTTAAGTTGCTGAAATTCCTGTATTTTTAAAAGGTGTAAATGAAGTTTCTGTGAGAAGTTAGAAAAATAAACTCTCAATTAAGACAGGTGTCAAAGTCTAAATTCAGTGACAACTCCAACTATATCAACACTAGAGAAAGAAAAGTTTACCACACTCAACATGTTGAGTTTTACATAATACTGAACCTTAAATGTTCCAATTCCACTGTAATATAGCGTTTAAGGTATTACACTGAAATTGGAAAAACTAAAGTTCAAGACCTCATTTGTCTATAGAATTCACTATTTGGACAGTCAGAATACATCATGTCAAGCTACCATGTATGAATTATGAACAGATTATAACAATAAGTAAATAAATATTTGTCATTCATGAAACCAGAAGAGCATTGGCTACATTTTGAAATATCTTACCATGTAATTACTTACCAAGTGCTGTAGTTTTTTTGTATCCTAAAAGAGAAAAAAGGGAAATGGAAATGAGCTAAACTTTTGAGCCTCATTGGAATCAACACATGCTTTCTCTTTCTAGTTTATTTAAAATATCATTATCATTTGTTACTAAATAGTAGCCAATGTAGTGTGGTGAGTAAAGTGCTAGATTATGAATTTCAATACATGAAGTAAAATGGGTACAGTGCACAAAAAGAGGAACCTGAAATAAAGCTGGAAAAATACTAGGATCAACATCACATTGCAACCAGTACTATTGAAAACTTTGATCTGAAGGGGTGATTTTTTTTTGGGGTGGGGGTGGGGGTGGGGGGCTAAATTAATCTCCATTTGGGAAGGCCTAATTTTGGAAGAGCCAGTTTGCACAACAGATAGAAATACAGTGCTGAATATGAACTGTTTCTATACAAGCATTGCTAAATTGAAGAAAATGCCATTTTTGCTTGTTTCTTTTCTTTCTTTTCTGTCTTTTATTACAAACTGCCACAGTTTTCACTATTTAAAAAGAAACCATCTTGCTGGTACAAGTGCAGTAGCTCACCTCAGACTAGTTTAGTCTTACCTGCTTTTGAAGTAGTATTTGGCTTTTCTGTAAATCCTGTTTGAAAGAAAATGTTGATAAAATAAAA